CGTTGATTGAACAGCAGTATAATGATATTTGTTTTAAAACAAATGGGATCAGCTGTTAACAGTTTTGTGGAAAAGATATTACTCTTAAATAATTTGCATATATTTATAACAGCATTTGTGACAAGTATGACTGATCTGTGTGTTACTAATTGCTTGAAAACAGATTATAGCTCATAGCTCCTAGTATCCCCAACTGTCTCACAGCTCTGACTAGATGTGATCATAGCTCCTAGTATCCACAACTGTCTGATAGCTCTGACTAGATGTGATCATAGCTCCTAGTATCCACAACTGTCTGTTAGCTCTGACTAGATTTGATCATAGCTCCTAGTATCCCCAACTGTCTGTTAGCACTGACTAGATGTGATCATAGCTCCTAGTATCCCCAGCAGTCTGTTAGCTCTGACTAGATGTGATCATAGCTGTTAGTATCCCCAACTGTCTGTTAGCTCTGACTAGTATGACTGATCTGTGTGTTACTAATTGCTTGAAAACAGATTATAGCTCATAGCTCCTAGTATCCCCAACAGTCTGTTAGCTCTGACTAGATGTGATCATAGCTACTAGTATCCACAACTGTCTGTTAGCTCTGACTTGATGTGATCATAGCTCCTAGTATCCCCAACTGTCTGTTAGCACTGACTAGATGTGATCATAGCTCCTAGTATCCCCAGCAGTCTGTTAGCTCTGACTAGATGTGATCATAGCTGTTAGTATCCCCAACTGTCTGTTAGCTCTGACTAGTATGACTGATCTGTGTGTTACTAATTGCTTGAAAACAGATTATAGCTCATAGCTCCTAGTATCCCCAACTGTCTGTTCGCTCTGACTAGATTTGATCATAGCTCCTAGTATCCCCAACTGTCTGACAGCACTGACTAGACGTGGTCATAGCTCCTAGTATCCCCAACAGTCTGTTAGCTCTGACTAGATGTGACCATAGCTCCTGGTATCCACAACTGTCTGTTAGCTCTGACTAGATTTGATCATAGCTCCTAGTATCCCCAACTGTCTGATAGCTCTGACTAGATGTGATCATAGCTCCTAGTATCCCCAGCAGTCTGTTAGCTCTGACTAGATGTGATCATAGCTGTTAGTATCCCCAACTGTCTGTTAGCTCTGACTAGTTTTGATCATAGCTCCTAGTATCCCCAACTGTCTGTTAGCACTGACTAGATGTGATCATAGCTCCTAGTATCCCCAACTGGCTGACAGCTCTGACTAGATGTGATCATAGCTCCTAGTATCCACAACTGTCTGTTAGCTCTGACTAGATTTGATCATAGCTCCTAGTATCCCCAACTGTCTGATAGCTCTGACTAGATGTGATCATAGCTCCTAGTATCCCCAACTGGCTGACAGCTCTGACTAGATGTGATCATAGCTCCTAGTATCCCCAGCAGTCTGTTAGCTCTGACTAGATGTGATCATAGCTACTAGTATCCCCAACTGTCTGTTAGCTCTGACTAGAAGTGATCATAGCTCCTAGTATCCACAACTGTCTGATAGCTCTGACTAGATATGATCATAGCTCCTAGTATCCCCAACTGTCTGTTAGCACTGACTAGATGTGATCATAGCTCCTAGTATCCCCAGCAGTCTGTTAGCTCTGACTAGATGTGATCATAGCTCTTAGTATCCCCAACTGTCTGTTACTTCTGACTAGATGTGATCATGCATAGCTCCTAGTATCCCCAACTGTCTGATAGCTCTGACTAGATGTGACCATAGCTCCTAGTATCCCCAACTGTCTGTTAGCTCAGACTAGATTTGATCATAGCTCCTAGTATCCCCAACTGTCTGATAGCTCTGACTAGATGTGACCATAGCTCCTAGTATCCCCAACTGTCTGACAGCACTGACTAGACGTGGTCATAGCTCCTAGTATCCCCAACAGTCTGTTAGCTCTGACTAGATGTGATCATAGCTCCTGGTATCCCCAACTGTCTGTTAGCTCTGACTAGATGTGGTCATAGCTCCTAGTATCCCCAACTGTCTGTCAGCTCTGACTAGATGTAGTCATAGCTCCTAGTATCCCCAACTGTCTGTTAGCTCTGGCTAGATGTGATCATAGCTCCTAGTATCCCCAACAGTCTGTTAGCTCTGACTAGATGTGATCATAGCTCTTAGTATCCCCAACTGTCTGTTACTTCTGACTAGATGTGATCATGCATAGCTCCTAGTATCCCCAACTGTCTGATAGCTCTGACTAGATGTGATCATAGCTCCTAGTATCCCCAGCAGTCTGTTAGCTCTGACTAGATGTGATCATAGCTCCTAGTATCCCCAACTGTCTGACAGCACTGACTAGATGTGATCATAGCTCCTAGTATCCCCAACAGTCTGTTAGCTCTGACTAGATGTGATCATAGCTCCTGGTATCCCCAACTGTCTGTTAGCTCTCACTAGATGTGATCATAGCTCCTAGTATCCCCAGCAGTCTGTTAGCTCTGACTAGATGTGATCATAGCTCCTAGTATCCCAAACTGTCTGTTAGCGCTGACTAGATGTGATCATAGCTCCTGGTATTCACCCTAGTATCCCCAACTGTCTGTTAGCTCTGACTAGATGTGATCATAGCTGTTAGTATCCCCAACTGTCTGTTAGCTCTGACTAGACGTGATCATAGCTCCTAGTATCCCCAACTGTCTGTTAGCTCTGACTAGATGTGATCATAGCTCCTAGTATCCCCAACTGTCTGTTAGCGCTGACTAGATGTGATCATAGCTCCTGGTATTCCCAACTGTCTGTTAGCTCTGACTAGATGTGACCATAGCTCCTGGTATCCCCAACTGTCTGTTAGCGCTGACTGATCATAGCTCCTAGTATCCCCAACTGTCTGACAGCTCTGACTACATGTGATCATAGCTACTAGTATCCACAACTGTCTGTTAGCTCTGACTAGATGTGACCATAGCTCCTGGTATCCCCAACTGTCTGTTAGCTCTGACTAGATGTGATCATAGCTACTAGTATCCACAACTGTCTGTTAGCTCTGACTAGATGTGATCATTGCTCCTAGTATCCACAACTGTCTGACGGCTCTGACTAGATGTGATCATAGCTCCTAGTATCCCCAACTGTCTGTTAGCTCTGACTAGATGTGATCATTGCTCCTAGTATCCACAACTGTCTGACAGCTCTGACTAGATGTGATCATAGCTCCTGGTATCCCCAACTGTCTGTTAGCTCTGACTAGATGCAATCATAGCTCCTAGTATCCCCAACTATCTTTGGGACTAGCTAGGGATGTGATGGATGTGATTGTAGTAACCTTGGAGACTAGCTAGGGATGTGATGGAAGAAAAGTCACTGAACACAGCGGAAGTAAATTTAATCAGAAGCTGTTCTCTGGCGGTCTAGATTGCAGAATGTTCTGGAATAGGAAAAAATGGTATTTTTTGCTTGGTTTGAAATAGATGCTGTATCACTGTAATACTACCCTCTGCAGACAGACCAAATGTCACTAGTTCTATATCACAGGAAACTCATGTGACATCACATTTTACATAGTGTACTGTGTGTAAAAGAAAATTATGCACTTTCTTGTTTGATTTGGAGATAAAGTAACAAAGAAGACCCAAATCTAATCTCAATATTTCTGTTTTATGAATATCTCTCTGCTGTTACTTGTCCGGAGGAAATCATAGATCATAAAATTCTGGAGATATTGCAAATTTTTCAGGTTGTTTATTGCCTCAAAAAGTACAATAAAAAAATCCAATGATTAATGAGAATTTATGTATAGTTTAATGATATTTTACAAGCTATAAAATGTTGTGTATGATTTGTTTATAACAACTCAAAAATGATTCAAATTGGTAAAATTTTATAGAATTTGATATGATTTTCCCTACTTTGTGGTACTGTGATGGCTGACCAGTGAAGGCGTCTACCCCTCCAACATTTGGTTTGTTTGTTCGAGGCCTGCATATGTACGTGGGGGCAGTCACCACAAGTTATGGCGACAGGTCGGTGGTTTTTATCTGTGCACCCCAGTTTTCCTCTACCACCAGGACCCGGCAAATCCTTAAATGACCGAAGCTGTTACTAGGACATAAAACACAAACATATCAAACCCTGTAATTTTGATCTAACATTATATAAATATCACATTCATGAGAGGGCGATATTGCATATTTTCACCCCAAGGAACAATGCTTTCCGATGGGTGAAAATATGCAATATCGCCCTCTCATGAATGTGATTTTTATTTTATTATACCGAGTGTCATGTTTAGGTGTTTCACCACTTCACCATTTTTAAAGGTCCTTGTGTTGATTTGACATAAACCAAGACTTCATCTCAACAGTTGTCGAATGAACCAACCATGAATGTGATTTGATAACACCCTGGCACTGGGACGAACCGTGCACGCATACGTTCGGCGCATGTGATTTTTTTTGGAATGTCACCCTGTCTTCTTTATCTTTGTAAAATGAGCAAGTAACATTGAAAATGTTCACATCTTTTTCAACCAATCAGATTACGAGATTTTAACAGAAGGTATGATAATCTGAAATATCATATGACCGAGATTTGTTTTGAATTATGGTTTTAGCCTACTGTGTTAGAAGTATCTAGTTCGGATACAATTTCCACATTTGATTTATACTTATTGTATGTAACTAATGATTTCATTGAGTTGATCACATCATACAAGATGTCTGATCTTTATTGTACATTTCCATTTAATTTTGGTTCTAGCCATACATGTATGTATTCTATTGATTCAGTCTATGCCCATAATACAAGTAATAATCTCTCTCTTTGATTGTATCATCAAAGTAAAACCTTTCTCGTAAAGAACTGTGAAACAGCAAATGGTCTTAGGAATCAAGTTTTCTTGCAATTATTTGAAATTTCCTAAGCATAAAGTGAAAATGTTTGTACAAAAAGTATTTGTATTGTCAATAACACATTTTTTTTATACAATTTACTTGCATTTTGCCAATTTTAACATTTTTCTATATAATATATCTGACATTTTGATGTTGTAGGCCTCTATGAGATTACCCATGACAACATGACAGAGCATCCAAGCACAATCAATGTACTGGAACGTATGAACATCTACCAAGAGGTCATCCTTAGCATCCTCTACAGAGTTCTTCCTATCAAAGTAAGTCCTCAGCACCCTCTACAGCCTCATCAAAGTAAGTCCTCAGCACCCTCTACAGCCTCATCAAAGTAAGTCCTGCATCCTCTACAGCCTCATCAAAGTAAGTCCTCAGCACCCTCTACAGCCTCATCAAAGTAAGTCCTCAGCACCCTCTACAGCCTCATCAAAGTAAGTCCTCTGCATCCTGTAAAGTCCATTATTAAATTAAGTCCTCAGTATCCTCTACAGAGTTCTTCCTATCAAAGTAAGTCCTCTGCATCCTCTACAGACATATTAAGGCAAGTCCTCAGCATCCTCTACAGAGTTTTTCCTATCTAAGTAAGTCTTCAGCACCCTCTGCAGTCATCAATAAAGTAAGTCCTCAGCACCCTTTACAGCCTCATCAAAGTAAGTCCTCTGCATCCTCTACAGACTCATTAAATTAAGTCTTCAGTATCCTCTACAGAGTTCCTCCAACCAAAGTATGTCCTCAGCATCTTCTACAGTCCTCATCAAAATAAGTCATCAGCACCCTCCACAGAGTCCTCCACATTAAAGAAAGTCTTCAGCATCCTCTACAGAAATTTTCCCATCAAATTAAGTCTTCATTATCCTTTACAGAATCCTTCCGATCAAAATAAGTCTTCAGCATTCCCTACAAAATCCTTTTCATCAAATAAAGTCTTCATCATCCTCTACAGAATCCTTCTCATCAAAGTAAGTCCTCAGCATCCTCTACAGATTCCTTTCTTTCAAAGTAGGTCCATAGCTCCCTCTACAAAGTTCTCTACATCAAAGTAAGTCCTACCCATCCAAGTTAGTCCTCAGCATCCTCTACAGAGTCCTCCCCATCAAAGTGAGTCATCAGCTTCCTCTACAAAGTTCTCTACATCAATGTAAGTCCTCTCTATCCAAGTTAGTCCTTAGCATCCTCTACAGAGTCCTCTCCATCAAAGTGAGTCATCAGCTCCCTCTACAAAGTTCTCTACATCAAAGTAAGTCCTCCCCATCCAAGTTAGTCCTCAGCATCCTCTACAGAGTCCTCCCCATCAAAGTGAGTCATCAGCTCCCTCTACAAAGTTCTCTACATCAAGGTAAGTCCTC